CACACACACACACACACAGATTTACCAGACTCCATTAGGAACATACTAGTAGAAAACAAATATATTAACTGCATCAACCTGCAAAAAAAGACAAAAAATAATGGAAGCTTTAATATTAAAAAAGAAAAAGCCAACTCTTAACAATATTAACTACGGACAAAGCCACAATGTGCTAACCGTATTCGGAAATTAAAAACATCCCTAACACACACTAATACATACACATAACGCACACACTCAAGTAAGCTGAAAAATCAAATCATCCTTGATAAGGGCTAATGGTATAGCCGAAAGCGCTCGGAAATATAAAACATTTGGACAGTTCTTACACATCCTTGTCCAGAAAAGAAAGCTCTTGTTCGAACACAAGAAAAATTAAATAAATAGCTTAACCGTAGTACCTTGTCTGTCGTTTTTAATAAAACATGCATAAAGGAAGGATTGCTGCCTAAATATACTTCTATCTATCTATCTATCTATCTATCTATCTATCTCTTTATATATATATATATATATATATATATATATATATATATAGAGAGAGAGAGAGAGAGAGAGAGAGAGAGAGAGAGAGAGATAGATAGATAGATAGCTTGCTAGCTAGATAGGTAGATAGATATGAATAAACCGAAATAGATAGATAGATTTATATGATTAAACTGATATCTATTCATCCATCTATATATATATATATACAGAGAGTACTAGCTAGCTAGCTAGATAGTTAGATAGGTAGATAGATATGAATAAACCGAAATATATATATATATATATATATATATATATATATATGAGTAAACCGATATCTATCTATAAATACATAGATTTATATGATCAAACTGACATCTTTCCATCCATCGGCAATGGACTCATTTCATTTTAATTGAATTCCCGCTTTATCCTCTATCTTCTTTTCTCGACATATTGGCCTCTGTTTTGTGTTAAAAAAGAATGTCGCTTGCCATTCCCTGGGTCAACAAAGTCACGGTTCAATTATATCTGCCGCTGAAAGCAAATTCTATTTGTGAATAATATATCGAACGGTGAATTTGATAGCATTATAACATTAATTCATAACGTAGAAAATGAAAAGTGACTGTCTTGGCAGTTTTATCGCATATATTTAACGGAGTAAAACCTACTTATACGCAGATGACGCCGTACTGATAGCAGATACGGAAGAGAAATTACAAAACATCCTATAGAAATTAGCGAAGGAGAGCGAGAATAAGGGACTAAGCATAAACTACATGAAGACAGAATGTATGTTCATTATTAAAAGGATGAACCCGAAATGCAATTTGCAGGTCAGGGATCCTAAAATCAAGCAAGTGCGGAAGTTTAAAGATGTGGAAAGTGTTTTGACAGAAAACGGTAAGTGCGACGCTGAAATCCGAGGACGTATTGGGATAGCCAAGAAAACATTCCAAAAGCTGGGCAGGAGGAATTACAAGACAGGAGGAATTTTCTTTTTTGGTATCAAAGAGTACTGAGCTGCTACGGGAAGTATGTCATCCTTTCCGGCAGCGAATGTTGGACGGTCTCCACAAAGATGAAGAAGAGATTCGAAGCAACGGAGATATGATTCTACAGAAGGATGACAAGTATACCATCCACATAGCCTGTGAGCAACGATCAGGTTTTGGAGAGGATGCAAACAAGGAGGAAGCTTATACTTAACATCAGGAAGAGGCAGCTGAAATTTCTGGGTCACGTAATAAGAAAGGAAGGCTTGGAGAACCTGATACTCACAGGTCGAATAAAGGGAAAGAGAGACAAGGGAAAGCAACGCATGACATGCCTTGCGGACTTAAGCAAGTGGATGACAGAACGTGGAGGAAAGTGACAGAGGGACGAAATTTATTGAGAGCTACAAGCCATAGGATGAAATGGAGAGTCATGATCGCCTACGTCCTGAAGGGACTCGGCATATAAAGAAGAAGTATATAGTAGCAAATGATTCCTGTCAAGGCAGAGAAAATAATTTTAAAGGAATTTCATATCAATAGAAACCTTTTTTTCAAAGAGAAATTTATCTGAGGTGCTCCCAATATGTACAGATATCAAAATAGGTTTGGCAAACACTCTGACAGCATTAGAAATGTTTGGTTCATAAACTGACATGGAAGATGAAAGCATGATCACTAGGTGTAGATTCGTGTCTAACAGAGCGAAAGTGGTTGCCCCATTCAAACAGGTAAAAAACATGCGCTTAGCATGTGCACACAGTGTAACAGATGACAAGCCGCAACAGAAGTGTCCCACTGGAAAGAGAAAAGACGGAAAGTCTGTCACATCCTTGAAGATCGAAGACGCACCTCAACTACATGACCAACTGATGAATCCGGAGATGTATAAACAATAATTTTACATATGAGAGATTTTATGTCGAGTTCTTACGGGAATAGTTCTTGAATAACATTATTTAAACTTAGTATAAGACTAAACAAATAGTAATTAGATTGGGAAGATTGTGCTGCTCCAATATTTCAATTATGATGGGTTTGCCAATGTAATATATCACCATAGAATAGGGTACCTCGAGGTGGTGTAATGGTTAGCAAGCTTGTCACGCTAGAACAATTACGACTGAGTAGTGAGTTCGATATTCACTGGGTGCCCCATACTTCGGCCTTGTGCCATATCTAAGCTACACTTGGAAAATGACTTAGGCAACACGGTGTGGTGTAATGGTTAGCAAGTTTGTCTCCCTAAAACAATTACGTCTGAGTAGTATCGATACACATTGCTATCGATACACACTGGGTACCTCATACTTTCGGCCTTGTGCCACATCCAAGCTACGCTTGGAAAATCACTGTATTAATGGGCACTTCGAGGAAGTGTAATGGTCAACAAGCTTGTAACGCTAGAAGAATTACGACTGAGTAGTGAGTTCGATACTCACTGAGTGCCCCATAATTTCGGCCTTGTGCCACATCTAAGCTACGCTTGGAAAATCACTATATCACCATAGAAAAATGATATATAAATGTTTATATAATAGAAAGATTTGCATCTGCATTTACCTTTCTTGGTAGATTTATTATCACAATGTGGGTTAATTAATAACAAAAATGATAAAAACTTAAACAAAAAAAAAAAAAAAAAAAAAGAAACTAAATAAAACTGGTTAGATTATATTCCTAAAAGGATATCTTCAAAAATATTAAAGTTTAAAATTTCAACGTTACTGATATCTGTTTCTATGTATCTATCTATCTATCTATCTATCTATATATATTCATATATATATATATATATATATATATATATATATATATATATATATTTTTTTTTTCATATTTATCTATCTCATTCTATTCATATCTATCTATCTATCTATCTATTCATATCTATCTGTTTATATATTTATCTATCTATCTTGTTTTTGTCATATTTATTTATTTCTATCTATCTATCTTTTTTTTTATATATATTTATATATATATCATATATATTTATATATATCTATATACGTCTGTTATATATATATATATATATATATATATATATATATATATATATATGATTTTTTCATTTTTATCTATCTCATTCTATTGTTCATATATATATATATATATTTATATATATATATATAGTGATTTTTCTTTTCATATCTATCTTTATCTAGCATTTATTCAAGTTTTTCATATCTAAAGTCATTTCCTCATTTTCCCTGTGTAGTTACATCAATATAAACATTAGTATAGTCTGATGAAGTCCTAAAGCACGAAACGCTTCGCATGAATGTGTATTACACTTTGTCCTTAACCCTTTGAGCTCAGTTTCTGAAGAATTTTAACCCAAAAATTCGCAAATAATTGGTATGTAATATTTCACGGTAAATATAAAAATAGTTATAAGTGTTTACACACTGTTCAACCGGTGTCTGGGCAATACGTCATTTTTCTCTACCATTGTTCAACTGGTGGCTGGGCATCACATTATTTTTATATCTAAAGCGGTGATTAGGGTTCAAACGGTTAAAGATCAACATGTAAATTACTAGTTTTGTCCGCGATCAATTACCTACCATTGATGCAAATACCTCTGTTACTAGGTAGGCCCAATAAATGACGATATATTAACACGAATTATTTCTTTTGTTTCTAACGTCAAACATTTTGGTTCAGAAGAGTTCTCTCCCTTTCTCTGTCGATTTATTTATAGTTTTATATGTATTTAAAGATATTTTATATTTAAAGACCGCCAGTAAGTACCAGGCACCTCATGTTATCCTCTAGAAACAGGTCAGATATATATATATATTATATACTCGACTCCCCCGTCGAATTCAACGTATGAGGGTCAAGCAGATCAGTTCCATGGAAACCGACAGCCCATAAGTCGGATAAAAGAGAAACCCGGATATAAGAGACGTCTTCTCCGGTCCCGACAACTCTCTTATATCCGGGTTACACTGTATATATATCCATGTCTTTTCATATCTATCTGTGTATATATTTATCAATCTATCCCTCTTGATCTCTTCATATCTATCTATCTATCTATCTATATATCTATATATATATATATATATATATATATATATATATATATATATATATTCCTGTATATATATCCATGTCTCCTTTTATCCATCTATCTATTTATCTATCTATTCTATTCTATGCTTGTCTCTTTATGTCTGTCTGTGTGTCTCTGTGTGTGTCTGTCTGTCTCTGTCTCTCTCTCTCTATATATATATATATATATATATATATATATATATATATATATATATATCCTGGTCTTTTCATCTATCTATCTAGCGAGCTAATAGCTAGCTAGCCAGAATGTTTCCTTATAAAGTAACGGCTAATATTACCATGCTATACTTGTAAATATTTATGCCTACTGCTCTCCAAAATCAGCGGGTGGGCATTGAGATCTATCCAGATGAAAACAATTCTCAGCTGGCATTCTCTTCTGTTTGATTCATTTACTTTTTAAATTTTGTATCTGGTGGATTCACTCTTTGCTTATGTATACTTCGAATGTCTTTTTGGTCATCATTTTTGAGGGCCTTTCTTCACGGCCACGATGACAATATCAGTCCTACATCATTGTCAGTTTCCCGGGCGTCAGTGATTCGAAGCCACCAACCGTCTATCTTTTCACCCTCCATCGCCATCAACATCATACAACACCGGCTGTCCGTGCAAACAGTGGTCACTGCTTTTTATTTATTAGGTTTCAAAATTGGGTTTACACTCTCCTCAGGGTGGTATCGTCGATTCTTAAATGTTAGACGCATGCCCGGGGGTTGAAGTTACAGGACGCAAGAGCCGTTGCTAGGTGACGTCTGATGTCCGAGTGGAATGTTTGCTTGCCAATGGACTTGACATGATGATTTCCGTTGTGTGTTACACAGACTAAAGCGGGATGGATTATTTTAATGCTGATATAAGTAGAATAATTAAAAAACGAACAAAAAAAAACATTGTTTTGTTACATACAGATACTATATATTTGGAGAAGCAGTAAAATAATAGAACAAGAAATAATATCAAATATTTAAAATAATATTTACAATATGAATTTTTTTGCAAATTTATCTCTTTAATATAATAAAATATATTTTCTAATATTTCAGTTTGTTTCTATCATTCATCTATCTATCTATCTATCTATCTATCTATGCCTGTCTCCCTAATATATGTCTGTCTGTCTCTCTCTCTTTCTCTCTCTCTCTCCCTATATATATATATATATATATATATATATATATATATATATATATATCCTGGTCTTTCATTCATATCTATCTATCTATCTATCTATCTATCTATCTATCTATCTATGTCTCATTATGTCTGTCTGTCTCTCTCTCTCTCCATCTCCATATATATATATATATATATATATATATATATATATATATATATATCCTGGTCTTTTTTCATATGTATATATTTATCTGTCTATTTTGGTCTCTTCATATCTATCTATCTATCTATCTGCTTGTGTGTTGTCAGGTCATTTTATGAGTGGTACTGGTACTATGTAACTCCGTATTATATTATTATCGGCGGATTATAGAAGACTAAACTGGTTCCCCCACCAGGCTCTTCTGATGAGAAGCGAGACTCTAGATACCAAAAAGAATAAAAAACAAAAAATGAAAAAGTACCTAAATCCTCTCACTGGATCACCGGTCATCTAGCACAGGCCTACAGGGATTGAGAGTACCCTGGTCTTTGTTAAGACATCTGTCTTTCGAAGGACAACTCCGATATAATATCAGCGATTTCGTTTTTATCCAAAGATATCGACCAGTTCTTTTTTAGGGACAAATGTACACGAATTCCTAGGAATAGCATTTGTCTCCGTACAAAACTTTTTCCTCAACATCTCCAAGCACAGGTATCACTTTTTTATTTTGAACACCTTTAAGATGTGATTCACATATGTTCGTAGGATGAAATGACCAAAAAACCAAGTAAAGACTTTAGCACAGAATTGGAGCTGGCGTGTTTTGAAATTGTTCGTGTCTAATTAGATCGGATTCCAAACACAAAGAAACCACATGCAGAGAGAATTAATTAATTACACGTTATAAGGCATACTATAAGTTATGGAAAAATTGTACCTCGGATAGCTAATTAAAACATCATAGGAAAGTTTACAAAAATATTACTGTAACACCCCCTACAAGAGGTTCCTAAAGTTGCCGCGTTAGCACAAAATAGTGTGAGCCCCAAGCAGAACCAAGGGGGCAAAATCGACGCTGGACGCATTTGAGGTACAATCAGTGATGGCAGCACTCGAAATCAAGTCTCAGTTATCTATCTATCTATCTATCTATCTATCTATCTATCTATCTATCTATCTCAGTCTTGTCCTTATCTATCTATCTATCTATCTATCTATCTATCTATCTATCTCAGTCTCGTCCTTATCTATCTATCTATCTATCGCAGTCTGGTCATTATCTAACTATATCAGTTGCTTCGTATCTATTTTTCTTTCTGTGTGTCTGTCGATCAATCCTAATCACGTTCTCAGTTCTCTATTATTCTGACAATCTGAACCTGTTCATATATAGATATTTGTAATTATTTGATCGTTGAATAACTATAGAACTTTACTTTCTAAGCAATAAATCTATCTATCTATCTATCTATCTATCTATCTATCTATCTATCTATCACCTAGTCTACAGTCGCTCTCTCACAGAAGTGCCTCCCTCTGTCTTTTTTACAAATACTTTCACGGTAACTACTCCGAAGATCTCCTTTCGCTAGTTCCCAGACTTCATGAATTTAAGCGTTCTAATAGGCTGGCATCTCGCTCACACCCTTTCACTGTCGAAACTGTTAAATGTAGCCGTCTCTTCTACTCCAATAGCTTCATGCCTCGCACCTCTTCTCTGTGGAATTCCCTCCGCATTTCTTGTTCCCCTGATAACTATAATCTTTAACTATTTAAATGCAATGTCAATCGACATCTCCAGATGTCTTGATCTAATTTCCCG